GGTGCAGGTGGAGATGAAGAGCTGGAGGCGGGGGGGGGGTCTAGAAAGTGCCACATGCCGTCCGCTGCCGGCAAAGCTGTCTCCGCGCCTCCAACAAGAACACACACACACACCCCAAGTTAACAGGTGTCGCCTCGTCTTTTTCAACAGCGTAATGTGTCGGTGTCTGCTCGATTTTAAGCGCTTCCAGAAAGCGCGAAGGCAAAACGTAAAGCACGCTGTTTTCGCCCATAACATAGAGTAAAAATTTGGAAGAAGTTAGGACTGTGTGCGAGACGCCCAGACTGCTCTGGATTCCTGTTAGTCCAAGCACTTGAATAGCTGCTAAGCGCTATTTGGATTAGAGGTGTTAGTAGTTTGTCAGAGAAGTATTGCTTGTGTAACTTCTTCCTGATTACAGACCGACATCATCAAACTGTTAAACGCGAAGTACTAAAAAATTGCCTGCTGTCTTCTCTATATATTTCTGTTTAACTTGGAAGTCTCCAGAGGTCTCTTTCATTTGTCTAAAAGCCAATCTGACATTTCTGACCCTTGACTTCCCCACTTCACAGACTAAACTATTGTGATTGCTGCCTGTACTTCCTCGTTAAATTGTCCGTCAGTTTCCATTGTAATTTAAATATTTTATGAGTGACAAAAATAATACAGAAACCATGAAAAGAAATCAACTTTAATCCATTCTTTGTATCTCACATTCAAGTTTTTTAAAAATATATCTATATGAAAGATCGATGTGTTTGCTTGAGGAAAACAAGACTGATTCTTAGTTTTAAATGTTTCTCAGCTAAATGCTTAGGCATCATCAGGGATTATTTCAGGAGTATCAGCTTCCTATTAATTTTTAATTTAATAAAACCTACAAAAGTTACCACCATGGGCATCAAATGGAAAACACATCATGTGTTTTCCAAAACTATAGGAAGCCACTCAAAGTTGCTGAACAACAAAACAGAGAATGGTCGATTATTTAAGCCTGGCTCCAAAACCGATTAAGTTTGAAATACTATGCTGAAACTTCCTACGATTTTTAAAATATTTTTTAATATCATAGATATTTAATTTGGATAGTTGAGATTATACCGCATTTTACTCACTATTTTATTTAAGGCAATAGTGAAAATCAAGATACTTGGGACAGTGCCATTTCTGTTGCATTTACAGAACTGTAAATGTTTTGTTCCAATTTCAGCTTAGATTTATCTGTTGTCATCTACTTTTTCTTTTTTTCCCTTTTTTTTGGGGGGAGGGGGAGTTTGGCTTCGGTTTTAAGCTTACGATAGAGAAAACTAACAAATTCAAAATTCAGGTTTTGCCTCGTAGAAACTCAAATGTCAGCTAATTAATTAAGCTTCATGTTAGTATCAGCACATATCGATGAATTGTTAGGGGGAATGGGGAAGGTCTTTAAACTTCATTACGACTTACTGCCAACTTTCTACGCTTTGCTTCTAAAGGCGCTCTCTGTGAATTTCCTGCATTTGCATTATAATGCATTTAAGATGAAAAAATAACAGTGCTAAGTATACTTAGGGTTTCGTGCTGTATTTCCCTGTTGTAACAGGTGACATGATAATACTGTTAAACAATGTGGAATTGCAAGTGTGCAACCCCAAGTGAAAATTGTTCTTTCTTGGTTGAAAGCAAATTATCAATAAGCATACCATGATCAATTATCCCCCTGGCTGCCACACACTGGGATTTGCACAAGGCATTGACATTGAGAAATTCCTCTTTAGAAAGGATGAGCGGACGGGATCCCAAACTTTGCAGCAGACAAGCTAAGCTGCCGGGGTCTCACTTTTTTTCTTTTCTCTTTTTTTTTTCCTATTGTTGCGTTCCAGCTCATCCAAGACAAAACTAGGAGATTGTTTACTTCTCAGTGCATTTTAAAAGATGCTGTATTTTAAAAAAGAAAAAAGAAAAACAAGAAAAACCCTTCCCTCCGACCAAGCTCCCCCTCCCCAACAAACAGCGAGAGATTTTTTTAAAAAAACAACAAAACAACAAAAAAACAAGGAAAACAAAGAAACACAAAAGCACAAAGAAAAAGCAAGTGAGGGAGCCTCAGGAAGAGCCGCACACCCTCTCCCACTCGGTGCTCACCGTTGTTGGTAGGAGGTGATGCCCTGGACGTTTTGCGGGTTGCCGTTGGCCGCAGCGCCGGCTCGCCCCATGCCCGGCGCCGCCGGCACCCCCCCGGCCGCCCCGCCGGCCGCCGCCGCCGTCACCTGCACGCTGAAATCCGGGAAGATCCTGATCATCCCCGCGGCTCAGCACCCGGCGAGTCTCAGCGAAGAGGTGCAGCAGCAGCGACTCTCCCTCCGGCGGCTGCAGCAGCAGAGCCAGGCACACTGCAATCCCATTAGTGAGTGGCGGGGCCCGGGGGGGGGGGGGGAGAATATCAGCGCTACCCAAAAAAAAAAAAAAAGGTATGTCTAATACCACCGGAGCTGTGGATATTGAGAGAAAAATCCAAGCTGAGGAGGGATAGGGAGAAGAGCGGGGGGCGCAATTACTTTAGCGGTGCAGTGAAAATGATGAGCAGCAAATGTTGCCTTTTTTCCCTCCTCCTTCTCGTCCCTCCACCCCCCACCCTCCACCCAAAATGCAAGTCTTAGAGGATTTCTCTGTCTCAATGAAGTAATAATAAAGGCGGCTGACCACAGTCTGGGTTAGCGCCAACTGTGCGGGGGGAGGAAAGGGGAGGAATATCCCTGCTCCCAGAGTCCTGAGGAGAGGAGGAAGAGTGGAGGATTGTTGCAGCACAAGTTCTTGCTCTTGGTAACTTGCTTTAGCTACCCCCCCCTCCCCCTTTTCTTTCTTTCTATGAAGGGACGGTTTTCACAAGCGAGGAAATGCGCCGCTTTTGTGCAGCGGCGGAGTTTGTTCCCTATTATAGGGAGCTGACTCTCCTCCCCTCCTAGTGTGCAGCAATGTTATTGCTAGTCAAACTTGTAAGGTGTGTGGTGTGTGTGCACGCACTGATCCCTACTGCTGCTTCAACATATCAACTATACCGCCGAGAGCTGCGCAAAAAAAAAACCTTTTCAAAGCTCCCCTCCGGGTGCGGTACGAACCGCACCGGCAGCGCCCAGGCGGGCCACTCGTCCCCCTCCTCCGCCG